AAAAAAAAAAAAAAAAATCGTACCTGCAACTTCCGGCAAGACCTCCACCACCACCGTCGTTACTGCCCTCGCGACGTACCAGCAGCTTCCGTCAACCAGAGAAGCAGCCATCGGACCTTCAGATCAACGAGCAACCGTTGTACGTTCTCCGAGCAGAGTTGCCGCCGTCCACCATTGTTTCCGGTTGTCACCTCCGGTCAGCCCCGCTTGAAGTATTTCAGCATCCTCGTTTGTCATCGACGACCTCACTGCAGAGCAAGTCGAGCCTCCGAGAACCAGCAGCTTTCAGACCGTGTTCGAAGGTTCAAGCCCAAAGCCGGTTGTTCGACCCGCTGTCGGACCCGTTTCCGTTCAATAACTCGTAGTTTCCCGAATTCGGGTAACTTATTCGAATTCTCTCGTTAATACGGTCGTTTTCATATATCACATGTTATATATATTATGTGTTCGGTCTACCGAAAGTTGGTTTGAAGTCGGATTACTTTTAGTTCATTTAATTGTTGTGTGTATATTTCGTTTATTCGTGGATTTTCGGAAGTGATTGGAACTCTCAATTTCATAAACGTGAATACCGTTGTGTTGCTGTGCTAAAATTCTTTGAGTTCGGAGCCTCGTTTTGTTGTTTCGAGCCGTCATTAGGTTGTTCGGATCATTCGAACCCCGGATCGTTCATTTTGTTTGATTGTTCTGTTTTTGGAGCCAAAACGGTTGTTAAAAATATATTTCGGAACTTTGAAAATATGTTATTGTTGGTAACCTCTCGAATCCCGTTGTCGTTAGATATGTCGTCGTCATTTTTGGTCGAATAATTGCCCAACCTGTTAGCAAATAGCAGCCTCTGTACGATTTCTTTTTTGTTCAGATAGCAGCTTTACGTTTACTTTCATTAATATATGTTTTCAATTACAACTGCAACCAAGCTTGTAGCCCAGTGGTATTCATTGCGCTATTTCCCGTTTGAGGTCGTGCGTTCGAACCTTGAGGCCTGCAATCTTTTTATTTCATTTTTTCCCAGCCTTTTGACTGCTCCCAAATGCGCCGGCCGTTAGGCCCGATACCAGCCTGCGCGAAGCCCGTTCCTTCTCCCTGTGCGGCCCGCTTGAAAGCCCAGCAAAGGCCCGCGACCTGCAGCCATATTATTAGGCCCAAATACCTGATTTAGCAGCCCAGATGGCATGTAGACAGTTTCGCCCAATTAGCTTTTTAGCTCAATTTTTGTGTTCCGGAGCCCGTTTTTAATACCGATTTCAATTTTAAAAATTATTTTCAAATGAGAAAAATTTAGAAAAATTATTTTAAGTCCCGAGACTCCAAATTTTATCTTCCGAGTCTTATTTTTAAAAAATGAGAGAGTTCTAAGTCCACGAAAAATCCGATAAAAACCCTTAAGACTTAATTTTTATTAAGTATGGGTTTTATGTTAAATTTGAGTAGTGAGATAATTTATTGATAAATTATCTCGCTTAAATGTAGGTGTTTGAGGAGTCGAGCCTCATCCTACGTACTTGCTCTTGTGTGCAATTTTCTACCGAGCTATCCTGGTGGATTTACTTATAAAATTGTCTATGCCATACGTGTTGTTTAATGTTTTGTTGGTATGATCAATGTATGCATGTGAACCATGTAACCTACTGGTGTGAGCTGTTACGGCCGTCGGTACGGTTGTCCCCGTCGAGTTACGGTATGGTTGCCCTTGCGAGGCAAGTCTCTTTAAGACCTAATGAAAGGCCGTGTCCGTTACAGTGGCACGCACTCCCGTCGTTAGGGTTTATGCATCCCCTTTCCGGGGTTAATGATAGATGTGCACATGAGTGAGTTATTGTTGTGATTATTAGGAGATGAGACATGATGATGATTGATTTATATTCATGTTGCGACCATACCATCTTTACATGTTATTATGTGCATAGTAGTGAGCACTATTTTATCATTTGTGCTCATTCCCACCTGCTCTTCACGGATGCAGGTTAAGCAGCGGCTGGGTGACGGGACGAAGGACGAGTGGTGGTTTATTATTTGTTTTATTTTGCTTCCGCTTTAATAATATGGTCACGATGAACCTTCTATGTTTTGGACATGTGAACACTGTTTTCGAACTATGTTTTGATGTTTGAGGATATTTTGGAAAACCCTTTTGAACCTTCAATAATCATGGTGTTTGATTTATGAAGTTTCAGTTGTCCATATGGGATATTATGTTAAGATGTGAATCAGGTTAATGAAAACCTTGTGAAAAATCGGGTTTATGAATCCCCGTGAGTCCAGATAAGACTTGGACTAAGTAAATTGTGTTAGTTAATGCCCTTGATTTCGAAAATGAATTTGAAAAATTTGTTCTGATTTTTAGAAAGTCCGGAATTTCTTAAAATTCAAAGTGGGGTGTTACAGTTTGGTATCAGAGCCAGTCTGCGTTTCTGTAGACTGCTCTATGTGTGAAGTTGCATATATATGTAATTATGTGATTGTGACCCTTGTGTTCGACCACTCGTCTTCGTCACGCCGCACT